TGCCACATCAATCAGGCTGCAAACTGCCTGCATCAGGGCACATTTGTGGAGCACCAGTGGGCTGAGGAATGACATTCTAGATTCTGACATACTCAAGAACACCTCCCCCCACAAGTACCTGCACACAGCAATTTCCCCAAAATCATGGCAGGTACTCAGAGCACACCCCACTGTGACCCATCTCCAGAGTGCCTACTGACCAGCATCTGAGGGTACAGCATGAGACAAGCCAGACTTTCTGCAGTCAGCTTTAGATATTTACCAAGAGCATGAAAGAGGAGGTGTGGGGCAGCACAGGGCAACTGTGGAGACTCCCCACATGTGATTTCTATACGAGTGGCATGCATTTAGCAATGTGCCTCAGTTTCCCCCTCCATGAAATGGACAGGTGCATCACTCCAATAAATTGATACAAGAACTCAGTGGCAATGCAAGGCCATGAACATGACCAGAAAGGCATCTGGTACAATTTTGTGATCAATAAGGGAGTTGGGTCAGGACACTTCCTCCACCCATACCCACTCCTCCATGTGAGACACTGAGTCCCAGGAAGAAAGAAACAGGTGCAGAGGTCGGGGAAGCATCTCAGGAAGAGGAAGGGGACCTCTGTGCTTCCTAAGTGGAACCCAGGGAGGAACAGCGACTGCACTGGGAAACAAGCTCAGGCCAGTCCTTGCAAAAGTCAATCCTGAACTTTCTCCGATGCTACAATCAAGACAGCCCTCCTCAGAGACCTGCCACCTGACAAGGCCACCGTGTGCTTGCTTCGGGTCAGTGAGTGTTTAACCATTCAAGGCCCTTGGCAGGATGGCCTCTGCTTCCCCCTAGGCCAGGCCTCCTAACCCCTGCTCCCTCATACTTGGTGCTGGCTGGACTCCAGCTGTGACTCCCGCCCACGGCTCTCCAAAGACACCAAGTGCTCTCAAGCCCATGTGCCGTTTTATATGCACAGCGGTTCTCCCTGCAAGAGCTGCCATCCCTCTGGTACCCACCACCTGGAAAACTGTCACTGAAGGGCTCAAATATGCTCCTACAGCAAATTTTGTCCACCTGTTATTGGTAATAATAGACTAATAATAATAGCAACTAACATCTGTGAGTACTTATTCATGTCTAGAAGGTCCTGAGCTAAGTTGTTACCCACATGGTCTCTTTTCTCCTTGTATCACCACCTTCAAAAGGTAGCTTATCCACATGACAGGTAAGAAATCTGTCCGTCATCACTCAGGGATGAAATGGCAGCTTGAAGGTTCACACCTGGCCAGCTTCAGCCCACCTGTTCTCCCATGCTCTTAACTCCTGCCTCTTGCTTTTGAAGCTTTTCTTTCACAGGGTCCTCACTGTCTGTCTCCAGGCCTGCCTCTCCCCCAGATGAGAGCCTGGGAGCTGCCTTGGTCATCTTGAAACCCCTTGCTAAGCACAAGGCCCGGAATGGACTGAACATCTGTTGAAGGAATCAATGAGCCCTGGAAAATGATGGCCAGCTGAGAAAGGCTTAAGTGGATGTTCAGACTCCGTGGGGACAGACTCATGCTGGACTCAAATTCCCAGGAGAGAGCCCCACCCTCAACCCAGGAGCCAGGCTCTAGGTTTTCCCTGTCCAGATAGCTAGAGGCAGAGGAGACATAATCTAACTCCCTGAACAGAAGGAAGCAGGGCCTTTGAGAGCTCAGTGCAGGAGAGGAAATGGTGGTGATGGTGACAATGATCATTTCCTGCATTCCTCCTGCACCAGGTGATCTACTAAGCACTTTATACACTTTATATGTGTAAGATCTCACATGATCCTCACAGCCTTATGAAGTAGGCATTAATATGAGTCCCATTTTTCTGGATGAGAAAACTAGGGCTCAAGAGAATAAGACCTTTACAAAGGGTCCCAGAGCTTTTGGGTTTAGAGTATAATGTCACCTAGACCTGTCTGGCTTCCTTGCTCTTCAGACTTATGGCTTTCTGTAAAAGACAGAATGCTTTTTGTGAAGGCCAATCTCTAAGATGTGATGGGACAGAGAAGTTTGTACCAGTCTTGACTGGGAGGATGCCAGTTGGGACCCCCTGTCTACTGAATGCTATAAGGGTTCTGGGGACAGGGAGTGGGGTGGCTATGTTAGAAGAGGTGGACAGAGGCAGGAGTCCTGAGAGTCTAAGCACAGCATGGAATCAATGCATGTGCCTTGACAATCTGAATCAATGCATGTGCCTTGACAATCTGCTAAACCAGGCTGGCTCGGCCTCTGTTAGAGAAATTTCACTCTGGGTATGGAGCTGGTTTTGAGAAAAACCTAGGTCAGACTTTTCTAAGAGGCCAAATGAGCTCAGCAGAAAGTTCTAGCCTTAAGGGAAAAATGCATCTCTGCCTCATCGTCCCCCTCAGGCTTCCAAAAAGAGTTAACAGCCAGATTAGAATTTAACCTCCACTCTGGCTCAATTAGCAGAGAGAACAAAGTCTGAACAGGCCCCAGGCATCAGCCTTGCCCACCATGTACTTCCAGGCCAGGGATGGCCCAGAGAGCAACAGGAAGCCGGGCCTCACCAGAACCACAGAGCTACAAGAGAATGTCACAGCAGGAGGATACCAAAAGAGGCCAAGGAAAGACTGAGTGGTCTTCCTAAAGGAAGAGACTGGGACGAGCTGGGGAGACACTGTTGGTCAGACCCAATTGACAAGCAGGTACCTTCTTGAAGGTCCACAGTGGCCTGGACAACACCTTGTCTGAAATAGCCTAGGGACTGGGGCAGAGAACATGGGATTTGGGTGACAGGTGGGAGAGAAGGGGATGGGGGATTGTGTGGGAAAGGCCCTGTGAGCAGGCAGCACTCTGGAAGGATTCACCGGCCCCCACCGCCTCCTGCAAGCTGGCTCTTTGTGACAAAACTAGGGAGAGAGATGCAGAAACTCCCCCAGCCCCTGCAGAACCACCCACTAGGGCTCCACTCCTGCACCTGTCTAAGAGACACGCCCAGCTCTAGCCAGTATCGAAGGCGCCAGCGTTTGCTAGGAGGGCTCACCTCCCATGCTCCACTGCACCAAGCACTTSGCAGGCCCCGCACTCATCATCCCCACGGCCTGGGTAGCCCCATTTCATAGAGACCTCTGGGGCTCAGGAAGCCAAGTGCCTTCCCTGCCCGCGGGCAGACAGTTAGTCGCTGGCTGAGCTGAGAAGCTTTGTTAGCAGCCTCAAACGAGACCTTTCAGATGGAAGGTTTTCTCCACCAGCCGCAGGAAATGGCAGGGCGCACAGGGAAGTACCCCCCGCGGACCGAGGCGGCTAACTGCAGGCCTCTTCCACAGATCCCAGCGGGAAAGGGCGCCTGGTACCTCGGGGCTCCGAGTCCTCCACAGAGGGCGATTCAGAAGCAGCACCTGGTGCTCGGAGCCGCGGGGAACTGGTGGGCGCTTCTGACAGCCAGAACAGGGGCCCATTATGTGGAATCTAATCACATGGGCGCGCAAGCAGCTCGGCTTTCGGTTCTGAGAAGCGCTTATGCAGCCGCATCTCTCTCCCTCCGCTCTCGAGATTTCAGGCAGCGCAGGGTCCTGGGCCTGGCGCGTGGCGGCGGCGCACCGCAGGCTCCCAGGAGGGCCAGATTCACAGCTCGCCTAGGCTCAATTATCCGCCCGGGACTGGGAGCCGCATCAACAGCATTTCCAGGGAAGCCGCAGGCCCGGCCCGGGAGGAGAAAGCAGAGGAAGGGAGTCTGTAATCGGAAAGCAGGCGGATAGCGAGCGCCGCCCCCTCCTGGCCCCCCACCCGGGGCGACCTGGGCTCTCCAGGTGACCTTGGGGGAGACCCCTCTGCGCGACCTTTCCATTGAGAGGATCGTACGGCTTCTGCCGACCCTAGGCGCTCGGGGGCGCTACTCCCTGCCGGAGCCGACGCGCGGGACTCGGCGGCAAGGCAAATAGCGCTCCCGGCGCCAGGGACCCGGCGGCCAGCGCACAGCGGCCCCGGGGAGAGGCAAGGCGGCCCTGGGGAGAGGCCCGACGCACGCCTCCCGGGGAACTACAACACGGGTGTCTGCCCCGGCCGGCCGACACCGGGGATCCCGCAGCGGGGCAGGTCTGCTCGCCGTGGCACCAGCCCTGGGGACCTTTCCCGCCCGGGTAGGAGCGCTCTCTGCGCCCTGCCGCTACCTACCGGGACCAGGCGCCACCACGCGAGGGGGCGGCGCCCCCAAGCCCAGTCCAGAGACTGGGCGCCGGTGGTGTTTAGTGCTCTGTGGCTCCCGCTGGGCATTGCTACCCCCGCAGTCAGCGGCCCATCAGTCAGAACCCACCGAAGACCACTCCCCACCAGCCCCAAGATCGCGCCACTACAACCCCAGCCAACAACCTGCCAGTGCACTCCTCACCCCAGCCTAGACATGGAGGCTCCAGACGCGGGAGAACGCCCCACTCCATCCCCAGTCCTGAGCTCTAGGTACCTGCTTTTCCAGTGCCCCCCACCAAATTACCTTAAGTCCCTCGTCCTCCACCAGGTTATCAGAAGCTGAGACCACCTCCCCGCCCAGATTCTTGTCCTTCGCCCTGTCAAGCCGCAGAGCGCAGGGAGGAGGCGGCGCCGCCGGGGAACTCACCCGTTCTCTTGAGCCCTGCCCCGGGCGGCTCCCGGCCCTGGCTCAGTCAGTAGGTCCCCAAGCCACAGCTGCTGGTGCGGCGACAGAGCCAGCTCTGCTCCGCGGCGAGCCTCCGCGCCGCCTTTCGGCTCCTCCCCCGAGGCGGGGCCTGAGTGGCTGGCGTGGGGTGGACCGACTCAACACCAGCCTGCTGGTAAAGGGTGTCGGTGCTCCTGGCGTGGGGGCCTCTTTATGAACAAGAGGAAATTGAAAGGAGATGAGATGGACTCTTCCTCCCACCCGCTCCCCCCATGGAAAGGAGGAAGTCAAGAATGGCATTCTTGCTCCCATTTGACAGATGGTATCATGAAGCTCCAGAAGGAGTAGTAACCTGCCCGAGGTCACATAGGATAGTACCAGTGCTCGGAAGTCAATTGTCCTACCTGGAGGACCCTCGCGTAGCCTGTCTGAAGGCTTCACAGGACGTCCGGGGACGCGACCAGGTCTTGCCCTAGGAACAGGTCTGTGGGGACAGGTCTCCCAGCGGAGGAGAGCAAGACAAGTGGGAGCACGTGGGCTGTGACCTGCGGTGTGGGCCAGCATCATATCCTCTTTCTGGAAAAAGGGGAGGTTAATTGAAGGAGGAAGGAAGTGGTTGTACCTCGCTGACGTCTGCCGGTTTGAAGATGTGCAGGATCTAGACCTGGGCTGCTTCCCTGAGATTTCATGCTAAAAATACAAACGCAATAAAATAAATATGCAAAACATAACGGGTGGCTTCTTTCTCTCTTCGAACCAAGCCTCTTCTGGGGCAGAAGGCCCTGCACCCTGTGCCTTTCTTTACACAATGAATTTAACTATCTTTAAGTTGCTTTTGAAAACCAACCCTCCTCCCCCCAGGAAGAAGAGAGAAAGTTAATAAACACAGGGGGAAAAAACCCAGCCCAAAACATTCTCTGGAATCCACACTCCCTGAACAGTGGCCTTAGAACAATAGAGTTCTCTTTTCAACAAAGGGCTTTGTTTCCTGAACTTTCCTCGGCACCCGATTAGAGCCTCAGGCACCCTTGGGCCAACCAGCTGAGGGGGGTGGCAGATAAGGTTTAAGTTTAGGGAGTCTGGGGATCTATACTGTTAATTTGATTCCTCTCCTTTGGAGAACTCTGGGTCACTATTTGTGAGCAATATTCTTTTGAGACTGAAGACATCACCTGAATTTAAGTGATTTCTTATTTGCTAAGAAAATTCAATAACTTTTCTTGAAGGAGCAAAAAAAATGTGGGTTAGGCCTATTCTAGGGCCACAGGCCCTTCCCGATCCCCTGAAGACCTCCTTCACTTGCCCTGTCTCCCTCTCAGTTCAATAATAATCCAGTTGTGAATGACACTGTTTGAGTAGGAGCAATTAGAGAGCAGAGCAGGTGGGAAAGACTTACAATGATGTTTAAAATAACCCAGGGGGACCATTGTTCTCTGCAGAATGTTTCCATTGATTTATAATGAAGAGGTGTGGGCTGAGAAGGTGATAATCCATCTCTCCAAGGCATGTGTAGAACCTGGAGCCAGTGTCCCTGAAATGACATCTTCAAGGGGAGGGGATGTCCCAAATCCCCATGTTGTGCTGTTCATTCACATCTCTCACAGGGTTGATATCGAGAGCTAAAGTATACTGTACAGTAAATTGGAGGGCTCACTCTTTCTGACTTCAAACTAAAGCTACCATAATCAAGATAGTGTGGTAAGGGGGGAAAGGATCGACACATGGGTCAATGGAATACAACTGAGAGTCCAGACATAAGTGATGTATATGGTCAATCAGTTTTTAATAAGGCAAGTTAATGAAGAAGGAATAATCTTTTCAACTGAATAGAGCTGGGACAACTGGATACCAGGTGCAAAAGGACGAATTGGACCCCTACCTCACACCATATAAAAATGAACCACAAATGGACCAGACTCAAATATTGGAACTAAAATTATAAAACTCTCAGAAAACATAAGCATAATCTTTGTGTTCTTGAATCAAGCAATGATGCCAGATGTGGTGGGGCACACCTGTAATCCCAGCAATTCAGGAGGCTGATACAGGATAACCACAAATTCAAGTCCATCCTGGGAAACTTAACAAGACCCTGTTTCAAAATAAGAAATAAAAAGGGCTGGAGTGCAGCTCAGTGGTATAGAGAGCTCCTGGGTTCATTTCTCAATACTGGTGTGGTATTTGAATAGCCATTTCTCCAAATAGGATACATAAGTGGCCAAGAAGCACACAAAAAGATAACATCATTAACTGCAAGGGAAATGTAAACCAAAACCAAAATAAAATACCATTTTATACCTACTAGGTTTGAGTTCAGTGTGCTCAGGGACAATGGGGACAGGGCAGGACTCTGGTGCCTTTAGGATCGGGGAGCTGGAATTCTGACAGCTGAGATGGGGTCTGAGAGTCTTCCTTTGTAGCTGCAGCCCAAACATTGATAAAAAAAAAAATCAATCAATCAATAACAAATGTTGGTGAGGATACGGAGAAAGCGGAACTGTCATATATCACACTGCTTTGAAAAACTGGCCTTTCCTCAAAATGTTAAAGTTACCAGATGACCCAGCAACTCCATTCTTAGGTATGTTCTCATAAGCAATAATAACATGCAGACACACAAAAACTTGTTCCCAAACGTTCAGAATAGCCAAAAAGAAGAAACAACCCAATGTCTACCAGGCAATAAATGATAAATAAGGCATAGTCTATCTATACAATGCAGTATTACTTGGCAATCAAAAGGGACAAAGCACTGACACATGTTGCAACATGGATGAGCTTTGAAAGTAAATTGCAATGTGAAAGAAGCAGCTGCAAGCCACATGTTGTATGATTCTGTTTGAAAAGTCCAGAACAGACAAATGTACAGAGACAGAAAGCAGATTAGTGGTTGTCTGGAGCTGGGAGAGTATTTGTGAGGGCAACTGGGAGATGACTGGTAAAGGGGTGTTTCTTTTGGGAATGATGAAATGTCCTAAAGTTGATTTTGGATGGCCTCACAACCATGAGCCCAAAAAAAAAAAAAAAAAAAAAAAAAAAAAAAGACATTGAATTGTGTACTTTTTTGGTGGGGGAAGTGAACTCAGGGGCCACTGAGCCACACCCCCCAGCCCTCTTTTGTATTTTATTTAGAGACAGCCTCTCACTGAGTTGCTTAGGGCCTCGCTTTTGCTAAGGCTGGCTTTGGACTCTGGATGCTCCTGCCTCAGCCTCCCAAGCTGCTGGGATTACAGGCATGGGTCACGACGCCCAGCTGCATTGTATATTTTAAATGAGTGAATTGTATGATGTGTGAATTATCAACAAATTTTGCCCTTCCCCCCCAAAAAAAGTTAAACTATACTCCAATCCTTGAAAGCAACATTTTCAGTGTCCTCCAAATCCCTCTCTCATCTGTCCCCAGTCAAGAAAGTTCCACTCTTTGTTTCAAGGTCATCTATGGTGCCATCTATAATAAGATATTTAGGAATCGTTCAAGACCAAAAAATGTTCTTTTTTCCCCGTATTTTTTATTGGTATTATAGTGGTATATAGTGGTGGGATTGTTGTTACATGTTCAGATATGCACACAATATAACAATACAATTTCAAGGCCAAAGAAGGTTTTAAAAGGCTATGCAAATATCTGTGGACCTGATTTTATAAACACAGAATGAACTACATGGCTTTAGGCCTACTCATCAACTACAACTTAACCAACGTGTAGTTGCATATACCTTCCTAGGTGACTCTTGTCTCCTTGCTGATGCCACTAGCGATGGTGTTGGCTCCAGGCCAGATCCCGGCAACAGCAGCGCAGGAAGTGCAGAGGGTGCCACGTGGTCTGGCATAAAACTGAGCCAAGTGGGGAGAAAGGCATTCTGGGGAAGAGTCCCACTCTGGCCTGAGCTTGCTGGGCGGTCATTTCCTCTTCCACAGTGTCGGTTTCCTGCTCTGTAATCTCCAATTGTACAATACTCTGTGTGTTTGTATGTGTGGTTTTTTCCCACGTCCCACATGCTTTTGAGGGAAGTGACCTTTTCTCCACCTCTTCTGTGCGCTCCACATAACTGTCTGCACAGTGGAGCCCCACAAGCAGCATGGAGGGATCAGCAGATGTTTGGGCCTAGCAGGTGACCCCTGTCCTGGGACTCTGTTAGAATGCAGTAACTAGGAGTAGGGGTGGACTGGTTTTCTTTTCCTTTTAAATTTTATAGATTTTCTTTTTTTTTTAATATTTATTTTTTAGTTCTCGGCGGACACAACATCTTTGTTGGTATGTGGTGCTGAGGATCGAACCCGGGCCGCAGGCATGCCAGGCGAGCGCGCTACCGCTTGAGCCACATCCCCAGCCCTAGATTTTCATTTTTATGTTTAATTTATGGGAAACCCTACTCTGTTGCTCTCAGTCTCGGCAGAACACTAGACTCACTACAGAACCTTTCAAATTTTTTGATACCTAGACTCTACCCCAAACCATTTGAATCAAAATCACTGAAGGTTTAATTTGAAACACACACACACACACAAACACACACATACACACACACACACACACGTCAACAAAGCAAAGCAACACTCCCCACAAGTATGGCAAATACAACTTGCCAACATATTCAGGAGTCAAGATCACTGTCTAAGTCCTGTTTCAAATTAAGGGGGAGCACAGAAATGTTTGAAGAAGAAGAGGTGGAGACAAGGTTATTTAGAATGTTGCTTTCTACTCTTGTCCTCTTTGGCCCCAGAATGGAATGTGCATTTCAACCAAGTCTAATGAATAGCTAATGCCTTCAAAGTTTTAGTAGCAAAACCTCATCCTCCTGCTTACTTTTTTAAAATAGGGCTCCCCAAATTCCCTGCAGTAAAGAGCCATTAGGGTACTTATTTAAAATGGGGGTTCCATTTTGCAATCACCAATACTATAATTGATTGGAGAAAGAGGAGTCAACATTGGATACTAAAGCCACGAGTGAAGGGTCATTGGGTAACATCATAGCAAATTATCATGCCACAGAGTACTGAGTAACTATAAAGGCGGGGTCATGTACCTTTACTGTGGAAAGCTCTAGCAGTCTCCTCCTTAACTGAAGGATCAAACTCAGCATCACCCAGATGGGGACAACCTGACAAAATTCTCCCCCTGATGTGATGCAATAAGATGTACCCAGCACCTTCTATGTCATATTCTTGCCAAAAATACTTAACCTGATTTTAATCATGAGGAAAATTTAGACAAATCTAGAATGTGGGACATTCTACAAGCCTGGAGTTAATATCACTTTTTGAAAATAGACAGGAAGTTACTCAATTAAATGGGGCTAAAGGGAGATAATGAAGGTGGGCCCCTTGACAGGATCCTTGATAGAAAAAGTAAACAGCTATAAAGAAATGTTGTGGACAGCTAGGAATTTAAATGCTGTCTGCATAGTGGAAGATATTGCTGAATTGATGTTAATGTTCTTGGGTATGACCGTGACATTGTGGTTATAGAGGCACAGGTCCTTATGTTTAGGAAATGCATGCTGAGAAGAAGGTGAGGGAGGG